GAAAGTGTTAGGAATATGGTAATGGTCAAAGAGGCATACTTATTGAAATTACCTGGTGGCGGATGTGTCACGTCAGCACCCATGACAATTGTTGGCTTATCCGCGATAAACGGAATATATAATGGTTTTAAAAAGGAATTCATGCCTCCTAATTTGACGTTTATTTTTAGGCACAGGTTGGCCAGATATTGTTTATTGACACGGGACATGTGCTTACACTGGGAGCACTGTGTCGCAACACCAATCACCGTATCACTGACGCGTTTTATCTCCGCGTATAATGGCTTGCCGGTGTCTGGGAGGATGCATAAAATCAGCTGGGGCGTTGATTTAGCATTGTTCCCGGCAGCCAACCAGGACCTTTTTAGATAGTCCTCAATATTGCCTTGAGGATTGGCATATTCAATGGGGGGGATTTTGTTTGGGATGTTCTAACAAATCCAAAGTAATTCTTAAAGTCCATTCAAATTAGATATCATATAGATATACAAATAATGTGCAAACCCACCATCCCAGTTTCGTCGCATGTTGTCACCAGTTGTCTGACGAAATCCCGTACCGTCTGGATTTTGAATCGATTTTCGGGAAGAAATACTAATACCGACCATGAGCCGAGAGTAGCACCAGTAGCTACTTTTTTGCCCCGTAGGTTCCATGCACCGTTAGTCGGCATTTCCGAAGAATTTCCATATTCAACCGCTGGGACCGGCAATACACGGGCATTCACCTTTAAAATAATTGATTATGAAAAATCATATTTCCAAAGTATTATGTTCAACTTAAATACGTGGTCATAATTACCGTGATCATTTCGTTCGATACTCTTACGCCGAATTGTTGTAAGTGTTCGTTGGCACGATAGTCCAGTAAATCCTTCCCTTGGAGGATCGTATTAGAACGATCATTGGGTGTTTGGCATGCGAATTGGATCATATCCGACGTCTGCTTTTCGTTCAACTTTCGCATATAGCGTTGTTCCTTGATAAATAGTGAAGAATAATTTAAGTTATTTGGAACATTAGTAACATCAAACATTAAGACCACCTACCTCGATGACCTCACAAACTTCCATAGGAAAGTACGTGTTTTGTCTTACGATCACACAAGGAAGATTTTGAAATTCTAACCGTTGGTGATACGTCTGGTGAAAATAGGTCGCAACGTCGACCTGTTGACCTTGAATGTCAAAAAAAGTACTCTTGACCGGGGTTTGAGTCAACCCGGTTATCTTATATCGGCGCCTTGACACCTGATCGCCCCGATGAATAACACGGATCTTTAAACTTTTTATAATCCTTTCGACCATTAAAATGTTTCTCGTAGAGAAACCTCTTCGAAGATCATCGGGACCGTAGCCTAATATATTGGCCACTACTCGAATCAGTGAGCCCGATGCAAAGAAAGCGGTTGCGCTTACGTCAATGTTAATTAACATACGTCCTAAATTTTAGAAATTTATGGTAACCAAATTCGTTTTGGTATTATATAAAACCCATTTTACAATGAACTTCAGAATGATATTTATGAATTTACACGGACGAACCCACAGTCGGACGTGCGGACTGATAAAAGCCCTGATACACCTCTAAACCTCCTGAAAGGGCTCGCGACATATTTTTTATAAAAAATGAGCGACCAATCGTCGGGTACAGCATCGATGGACGATGACGAATTAGCACATCTAATGCCATTATCGCTATTATCGACATAATTGTATTATTAGTGTTGATGCTACTCGATAATATAACCAATATGGACCAAAAAAAATCCACAATTACCTGTCAAACAATCTTTGGTTAACTTCCCTTTATCATCAAGGAAATCATATAGATCCCTGAGGTTGATCTCTTTGATTTTTTTGATGTGTATTCTGAAGGTGTTTGGAACCCTTCTGCGTAAATCCTCGTCCAATGTGACCTAAACGATAAAAGATCAATAATCAATTTAACGGCCCATGTAAGTCAAGATATAACAAATAATATCTATTACATTAAAAGTATAAGAATCCCCAAAAGGGAGGGGACGAGGCGCAAACATATTCTTTTGACCTTTTTTACCAAAATAAGAAAGTTACATAGGATTATCAAAGTACAACCACACGTCCCGACCGCGTCAACAAGAAATAATAGAAAAATATTGGGGCACATTTTTTTGTATATAAAATAGAAATTCATCAACGAACCATCAAAAACAGGTCTCGCGTTGCCAAGGGCGTCTGCCTTATATTGTTCCTCGAAGACTCTGTAAACCTTCCGGTTTAGAGTAGGAGGAACTTGGGGTGTTATTGTTACATCGTAATGTACGATGCTTCTTTCAGGTAGTGACATATTGAAATAGTTGGTGCGAACGCGAACAAGGCGCCCTAATGTGCCCTGCCCGGGGGTCCTAGTGAAATCAATATCTTGCGATGTATCTTCCATAATATTCTCCTAGAAAAAAACTTTTTTTTTTAATTTGCGTATATCAGATGATTTTTTGAAAGGGAGATTGAAGGATTGACGGTCAATTTAAAGAAAAATTTTTTTACTTTTTCAACCGAACGGTGGCTTACGGAGATTAAGCATTAAATCAAGTATGGTAACCGGTAACGAGGCTTGAATTTTGAAATGCATGTCGCAATGCGGTCATCGCAGAAGTCAAGTCTGATAAAGTTCAGATAACTCTGAGTCACACAGTAAATTCGTCACGTATATTTTAGAATCACAATACAATTTACTGTTCTCGGAAAAACCCTAATCTTTATTATCGTACTCACTTTTTATTTGACAATAAAGCACACTAAGCCAAAGTAGCAACAATGACGGCAAAATATGAGATGAGGATTCTGTTATTGTTTCCCTTTATTACTTTATTCAATTTATAGACCAATAGGACTCACAAGATCATGTGTAAACGGGTGGTCCGTGCACAATAAGTGTAACAGTAATAAATACTTTGCTTGATTTGGTAACTTAAACAAAACCCGAACTGTGAACAAAAACGCGAACAAAAGCACAGGACATACTGTAGACACGAACAGAACAGGATTTTATAAAATTTAGAAATTTCCGAATTGGATATATACAAATTCACTAATTTTGATTGATATTCAGGGGTGAGATCAAAAGGACAGGGTTTGCATTGATTCCAAATTTGGTGGAATTTATAGTTGAAAAAGTAATGGTTATCATGGATCATGAGGACAAAGTTCATCCCCTATCGCGTCTCCAAAAGTTCCAACAGAAAATTCATACTTAAAATAGTATTATTATGGCATATCAGGACGTGGTCAAAGAAAGAATTAATGAAAAAAAATCATCATACTATTATTATCTATTACAAGATTTCACCGTGAGGCATCTCGTTAGACGTAAGATTAAAGAAAAGATGTGTACTTTGTTGCTTATACAGCTGTTTACATAAGATCATTGGTAACAAGACGTCGTGCAACGTGCGAAGGCAACAGCCATCCATAAGATAAGGTAATTGTTGTAGTTTTTGTATTGATCGATGCTCGACCATTGAAGCCTGGTGCATATCTTTTGAACCGCTTTGGGAAAGCTGCAATAAATGATGTGATTTTTTCTGATATTTTGGGACGCCTCCGTGCAGCGATCTGTGCATACGTATCATATTTGCAAACGAACTTCCGGTTACATTCTCCTACAATTGGCATAATCAGAAATTTCATGTGAATGCAATGCGTGGAGGCGTCTAAAAATATCAAAAAAAAAAAAAAAAAAAATGAATTCCTGCGTACGTCACGTATAGTCTCAAATAATAAGACAACGATCTTTGTAATCCATTCATTACGATATTACGTACGACATACTAAGGATTGGAACCGGTTTTTATACGTATTGAAATATGATATATTAGATTTCTACTATTGAACTTTAAATGGTATTACAGTATATTAAAAATATAAGATTGATAATTTTGTTTTAAAAATTTTTACATTTTTTAATTTATGCGAATAATTCATATTTGTTAATAAAATTATTATATGTGCAGTATAACACTATATGATATATTACTATTTTAATAAATTTAAAATTTTTATCTTATAATATAATAATAAATTTTTTAATATATTATTTTATCATATTTTATATTTGAAAGTTTTTATAATAATATATGTTTTTTAAAAATAAAAAATTATTGATTATAATTTTCAATTCAACAAAATTATTCATTATAATTTTCAATTCAATAGATTTATATAAATAAAAAACTTTGCCTATTTATTATTAATTCTTTAAAAAATTCTTTTTATAATGATTTTTTTTAAAAAAATATTTTTATATTCTAATCTATATATCATTTATAATATAAGCTCAAAAATATAAAAACTTTAAAAATTATTATTGTATCAGAATAGAATCTTTAAATTAAATTATTCAATTATTAAATTTTATTCAAATTTATTAATAAAAATATAAATTGATAATAAAAAATATAATATTTGATAAATTCAAACTGAAAGTGAATATCATAATAATCTCTTGCTATCTATCACACGAGAGGAGTATGAAAAGAACAGCAGTATCTTCTATTAGGAAATTTATTCAACAACATCACAAAAAACATATTATAATGGCTAGAGACTTTAACTTATATCCTAAAGCAACCCTCTCGATCAATGCATATTCCCTTTCATTCAAAAGAAATATCTATAAACATTTATTCAACTTTGTAGACATTGCAAAAGCTACAGGCAAGAAGCACCTGTATACACATACCATATCCACCAGTGCATCAAGGATTGATCAAATCTGGGTTACCAAAAATCTCGCCAGCAAAATCCTTTGCTACAAAGTTTCGAAACAGCATGCCATACCAACTGACCATAAATAAGTTAATACAATATTAGATTGGTTTGAATAAAAACCCAACAGAATATTCTTTTCAAATAAAACTTATCAATTCCAGAAGGTCAGTAAAGAACAACTCAACGCAATGCAAGAAGAAATAGAGCTACATTGTATAGCAGTGCCCAACCCATCATGGGAAACACTAAATATAACAATCAAGACTGCCATGGATAATAACATATCAAAAAGAGACCAATCAGTTTCAACAAAAAAGTTGAATTCTTTGAGACATTATGAAACTGCAATTAAATCCATCAAGAAAGTAACCAACTCGATAATGAGAAACAAAAAGCCTAACAAACTTCATCCCATTATAGAAAATGTACATAGAGCACTTTCTAATGATCCACCAATACTCAAATCCCTTAAAAAGATCTTTAAGATTTTCTTAAAAGAAAAAATGATTAAAGCTAACAAAATCATCCTTAATAAAATACAGAGAAACATTCAAAACAACTACATTAGATTTTGATTCAAACCTAAAAACACACTCAAAAAAGCTCTTGAAAACTTCAAGCCTGTACTTGATCTTTCAATCTTATCAAATGAAGACCAATTACAAGATAATCCTGACCAACTCATAGAAATAATTACCAAATATTTGAAAAGTGTTTTAACCACTAACCAATTTGTTCTCAATAAAAACTGGCAACAAGAATACTTACCAAAAGAAAATCTTTCAGATGACCTTTTTGAAGAAGTGCATAATGAGATTTCAACAGACAAAATCAAGCAAGTCCTTCTCAACCTTCCAAAACAGAAAGCTCCTGGCTTAACATATATTCCATACAAGGCCTGAACTAACCTTGGTCCAACTGCTAAATACTGCCTTAAAAAACTCTTCAATAAAGCAATATTCAAAAAAAAAATCCTCAAATTTTGGAAACAATTAGTAGTCACTCTTCTACAAAAAAAATCATCTGGTTACATTAATTAACTAATACACATCCTATATCTCTTATAAAAACCAGTAGGAAAATATTTATCAAGATATTGAATGATAGACTCTCAACAATTATCTCAAGTCACAATATCCTGTCAGGATATAACTTTGTAAGTCTCAAAAATCAAAGCACAATGGAACCAATCTCAATTGCCTATTCAAAAATTGAAAAGGCAAACAACCTCAACAAAGAGTTATGGATAGCATCATTTGACATCTCAAAAGTTTTTGACTTAGTAAACCTCTCTAGCCTGGAGCTCGCAATGAATTGAATAAAAATTTCAAACCAAACCAGCCAACTAATTCTCGATCTGCTCAAAAGAAAAAAGCTTAAAATAATTATATGCTATAAACTCATAGATCCTCTTGAAATCAACAAGGGAATTGACCAAGGTGAAACCTTAGCACCATTACTCTGGACAATTTTCTACAATCCAATGGTTAGCACAGTAATTCAAAACAATATTGGCAAATCGACAATACTAGCCTATATGGATAATATTGCCATTATTAGCATTAACATGAGAGCCTTACAAAATACGACTGACACCTTTTGCTCACACTTATCTTTGAACCTAATTAAATGTAACAAAAGCAAAACAGAACTTATAACAAACTTTAAACCAAAAAATGACCTAAGAAAACAATCCCTCCTCATTGAAAATGTACCAGTACACCTTTTGCCATATATTGACTCAATTAGATACCTTGGCATTTACTTTTCCAAAAAGTTCTCCTCTCTTGTAACAAAAAATTTTCTCAAGAAAAAAGTTTCGAACTTCACCAAAGCAATTGCAAATCAAAAAGGTTGAAATGGTCTAATCACAAGACAAGCTTCTCATTGAATAATACCAACCCAAATAGATTATACAATTCAAGTAATCATATCCAATGACACCGATATCAGAAAAATGCAAGTAAAATTTAATACAGCTATCAAAAGTAAACTGGGAGTTGAGAAAACCATTTCGAACAAAATTCTACATGCACAAGCAGACCTAAACATAATAAAGTTACAAGATAGAATCCACATAACAGCAGTCAAACTTTTAGTCTCAAGACTCACTAACAAAAAAACTTGCACTTCTCTCATCAAAAAAATCAAGTCTCTTCAGGCAACACATACCATATGGATATATCCAATCTGTAACCCATACTACTTTAGAGAATGCTGGTTAACACTGACTGCACAAATAGCTAAAAAATATCAAATTAATATTTGCCCTTACTCTTGCCTATTCGAAATCTCAGATTACAACCTTTCTATCAAGCTTATAACTAGTATTAATAAATCCATAGCACTTTCTCTTTTCTATACAAATATCAAAACCATCAAAGATACCTACATATACAACACTAACAACAGACTCTCATGGGATGAACTTCATATCCATAAAGAATACATATTCATAGGCCCTATTCCAAACTGGTTCAAGAACATACCACCAACAAATCAGACCATTATTGGAAATTTACTCCCAATACCCAATCCAAAACCTCAATTTCAGGTATACATCAACAACAGAATAGTTGATCTGATCAAAACCAGAAGAAACGCAACCCAACAACAAATAGTCAAAAGACAGCATTATCAAGTCCTATCTAACAAAAAAATCCAACAGTA